TGGCGCTCACGGACGGCGATGGGCGGTTGCTGAGCCGGGCTCGGAGCCGCCAATTCTCCTCCCTCGCCCCCGTAAATACCCTGACCCGCCCCCTCCATCCCTCCGCAACCAGAACCGAAGCCACAAAATCGGGGGGTCCCGGGGGGGCCCGTCCCGCGCACGCAGCAGCTTTGCAGCCTCCCCTGGGGGTTACCCCGACCACGGGGTTCACCCTCCTCATCTGCACCGGGGAAACTGAGGCCCAGCAGCCCCCACCACCAGCACGGCCATCAGCTGCAGGGGATAGATCACCGGGAGATTAATAAGCAAGAGAAAACAAGTGATGGAGCCAAAGACCAGCTGGCAAAAACATCGATCCCCAGACAAATTAAATGAGTCACAGAAAATGAATTCCCCTGCGGAGACGGGCTGGGGGCAGCAGGGGAATCCTGCATGGGGTGCTGGTCCCCCTGGAGCAGGATCCTGACCACAGGACCCCCAGCAGCTCCTTCCCCAGGGATAAACACGGCTCAACACAGGCTCCTGCTACCCAGGGGCCCCCTCACGGGGACAGGAAAGGACCCAGGTACGAGTTCTGGGCCCCCCCAGAACAAAATCGCTGCCGTGGTCCCTGCCCATGCTGCTGGGACAGGCTGGGGCCACCAGCAGGCAGTGAAAAAAAACCTGAGGCATCTTTCACTATAAAAACCAAGTCTTTTATGTAAAAAATAAACCTAAACAAAACCCATCACCCCCGCTGCCAGGCTCATGACAATACAAAAGGCCAAGTCGCCAGAACACCAAGTAGCTGGATCCAAATATATATAAACTTAGGAGACTGGAAATAGCACCTTGCTGCCCCCTGTCCCTCCCTGAGGGGGTCAGCCCCACACCCCAAAACCAGCTCTGCACTCTGAGCCCACAGACACCCCCAGCACAGGAGGACGGAGGGGAGGGATGCTTGGCAGCCCAGGATCACACCCGTCCCCAGCAGCTCCCACCCTGCCCTGCACCCCCAGGACAGGAGCTGCACAGCCCCCCCTGAGGAGAGCAGAACAAGCCCTCAGGGGGATCCCGGCTGCCAGGGCTCCGGCGGTGCTGAGCAGCATTCCCAGAGCATCATTCCCAGGGCAGGACAGGCGGAAGGGATCTCCAAAATCCAACCTCAAACCGGTAGTAAGAGAAAACCACTTTTCTGTCTGCACTGCAGGGTCAAGTAACAAAAAGAAACAAAAAAGGGCGAGGGGAAGAGACGGGGAAAGAGCAGGAGCTGCGTCCTGAGTACCCCCCTCGGAGCCGGCGGCGCCTCCTGCAGCCGGTCCCGCATCTGCCCCCTCCTGCACCGAGCAGCGAATCGGGGGGAAAAGGTCCCTGTGTGTCCCGCAGGTGGCAGCCCCCGCGTGTCCCCGTCCCGTGTCACGGACCGAGCAGGCGCAGCTCCGGCGCGTCCCCGCGCGGGGGGGCCCTTCCCGGGAGCTGGGCAGGGGGAGGCGACGGGCGCGAGGGCGGGGGGGCCTCCTCATTTGGTTGGTTTGGTGATGATTCGAGCCGAGAAGTCGAAGAGGTTCTTGTTGATCTTCCGGAGGGTGCTCACCTCCTCTTCCAGCTCACTCACCTGGATCGTCAGGTGCTCCTGGTCTCCCACCAGGTTCTGCGACAGAAAAATACAACAGAAAGGGTTCAGGGTCCCACCCGCGGGGAGCAGAGGCTCCCCTGGACAGCAGCAAACCCCAAATCCTTCTGTCCTCTCCCTGCTCCAAGCGCAGCCCCTTCTGCCTGCACCACCCCCCCCATCCCAGCTCCGCCCCCAGCTTCGGGCCGCGCGC